TAGAGAAGGTTCAACTTTAGCTTTTCCTATCTCTCGACAGGAATTCATATTCCAGTACTGTGCTAAATAAAAAAAAACATGTTTCCTGAAGGTTCTGAAATGAATAAGTCTTTTTTTCAGTATTTTTATTTGTCGTAAAGTATATATGTTGTTGTGACTGCATAACTTGCATTACTCTGCATTGGAGTGGTAGAAGTAACAAGTAGTTTATTCTGGTACTTGTGGGCATGTTTCGTGGTATTTGGTGTTAAGTCATCTGAAATGGCTTCTCTTTTCTAATCTCTATTACACAGTTTGTCGATGGAGATGTAGAGAAAGATTCAGAATCTGATGGTGAAGAAGCTGAAGACGAAGAAGATATTGTTGATCAGATAAATGATACAAGCGTAATAAATCTCGAGTCCTTGAGCTTGGTTAAAGAGGTAAATTTTACATGTTTTCAGTTTTAGTTGTAGCCTACCTGACCATTTTTTCATTATATATGTTATGCCTCGAAAAGTCATACACAGTAGCATCTCGAGTTCTATGATTTACTTTATATTTTAATTTCATTAATTATTAAAGAAAAAAAATTGCTTTTTCAGGGAGAAGATAATCTAGTTGAAGATGCTTCCAAAGAAGCCGACCAAACTGAAAATAAAGACGAGGGTAATGATACACAAGCCGAGGCTGAGGCTGAAGATGATTCTGAAGAAGAAGAAGAAGATGACCCTGAACTTATAAAAAGTCTGACGAAACAAAGACAAAAGGCTATTAAAGCGGCTCATGGGAGGAGGAGAGTTGTCACCTCTAGAAATTCTTACAAGGACAAAGGTGGCAAGTCGTCTCAGAATTCCAAGCTCCATAAGCAATTAAGTAGCTGGTGAATTATTTAATTATTCTACGATCTCTACCTACGTTCTCTTAAATTCTCATAAATCTCGACTGCGATTTTGGTTAATTTTATCGAAGCCTTGCTTGTGTAATGATAGCTACTTGTTCTTGAATACTGAATTGTAATTGACATTAATTTCATACAGAATCACTCAAATACAGTTTTTTTTTTTTTTTTTTTTCTCTTGGAAACAAGATGAAACATAAAAGTGAAACAATTATTATACAGGAATGTGACATAAAACAACATTAAAAGAAACACACTTGTAATAATGAAATTATGTAGCAGGCTCGATTTCAGGGGATTTTCCCTTGTCTTTAGGAGGTTCCTGCACTTGGATTTCTGTCATCTCAACTTTCTTGTGAAGAGGTGATTCTTTATGGTTACTCACTGATCCCTTCTTATTGTTCTTTTTTGCTTTTTGTGCCCATCCAACTAAACCAACTTGTATACGATCTTCGAATATTGCGCTATTGAATGAACTTCCCATCTAACACCACATATTGTAACCCCAAGTTATTCAATAAATTATTTTTTTTCCGATCAAATTCTGTTTGTTACAAACGAGAAAGTACCTGCGCGACAATGGCGTAGATAGGTAGAGTGCTGTAACTGCAGAGCAACTGCACAATCACCCTGCATTGCACCACAAAATATTTAATAAATCGAAAAAAAGACAATGGCAAAAATAGTTTGGTTTAATTTAAATCGATAATAACACACGACGAACGAACTCGTTCACTCACCCGATAATGAGCCTAGGGATGACGAAACCGACTGATCCCATGATGCAAGAATTGAAACCATACATAACCTGCACATTTTTTTTTCATGAAATAGTTGCAATAATAATGATTGTGTTTTTATAAGAAATTAATGAAAAAAAATTCAAATACTTCCATACCAGCATCCAGAAGAAAATAGCAATCTCGAATGCGTTTTGGAACAAAAGCACGTGTATCAATAAAAGGACAAGTCGAGGCTTGCGGAACCAGAAAAGATCGTCCGAAGGCTTAACAACTACATCTCCTGCAACAGCTATGTGTTTTTCTGCCACTTCTTGTGCTAATTGTGATATTATGTGCTCTAATTTAGTGCCAACAGCTAGCAAAATCTGCATAGATTCAAATATCAATATTTGTATTTTTTTTTATTTTTCTTTAATGAAAATGTGAAAAATATATTTCGAATTAAAAAAATCATATGGACGAAGTTACTTACTAGTAGAGGAATAAACGAAATCCAAAAATATGCATGCCAACCGGTTACATTCACCAGCAAGAACAGTATCACAAATAGCCAAAGATACCAACTGGAATCAACAACAACCTCAAACAAGTATTAATTAGGACACATCAAAATTTAAGAAAAAATAATTAGTGAAACCGAAAAAAAAAGTCAATTACCTAATTCCAACGACTTTCTTGAAATCTCTTTCGAAAGCACGGGTCATGTACTTATAGAAGTTAAACTTTGGGTTCCCCTTGCAGTGATTCTGCAAGAATAAAATTCGGAAAAAAATGATTTTTTTTTTGTTTTTGTTACTAAATCTAATATTATTAAAAATTTATCCGATTTTGAGAAGTAGTTACCATAATGAAACCGAGACGAAGGGTGGTGTAATCCGATTTGCTCACTGATCCGTAGAATTGCTTGAAGAATGATTTCTAAAAAGTGTAATAACATTCTAAATTAACTCGAATTTATATATATCTTATCAGCAAATTAACGAAAAATAATTAGTAAGATAAGTTTTCGATTTTTGAAATGGACTTCTTCATATACGGATTTCTGACTTACCGTCCAGCCGAACACCGCTATTTTACTGGCACCCGAAAAATGGGCCTTAATGAATGCATCATCTTTCACACGAGTGAGCTTTTCTTGCACAGCTGCACACAAAAAAAAAAAAAAAAGGTTATATACTGAGATTAAAATATTCGAATAATGAAAAAAAATGATCGATTTGATTCATCTATTTCAAAATTGTCAACCTTCTTCGGGATCGTATTCCTTCTTCTGAATCGATTCTTCCCAATAACTCCATTGCTGTATCTATAGTATCACGAGAATA